TTTATTGAAGTTGGTCAAAAAGTTTGTGTAAGGAGAACTTGATGATTTACTTTATGATATAATTTTTAGCATTCTGTTCTGAAACATCAAAGTGGAGTATTACTTGAATATACACATTTTAACAAACAATGGAATTTGTATTGAGATATGTATAATATAAATGGGATTCATATTACGTATTAAAATAGTTTTTACTTGAGTCCAAAATATACTGTAGCCCTGGCCCCATAGCTCAGTTGGTTAGAGTGTCGTCCCAATACACCAATGTTGTGGGTTCGATCCCTGGTCAGGGCACATACAAGAATCAACTAACAAATACATAACTAAGCAAACTAAGCAGAACAACAAATCAGTGTTTCTGTTTGTGTCTCAAATCAATAAAAAAATTTCAAAAGATATTGTAAGTGGTGAATCAAACATTAGAAATTCAAGAAAATTGATGAATCATTTCACTTTTAAAAATGGGGAAATTCTACATTATATACTGATTGTCAATCCTCATAAAAACCCAAAGAAACATATTCTCTAAATCATTTTAAACTTAAAGCAGTAGGGGAAAAGATAGGAAATGTAGGGGGGAAGACAAACAGAACTAAAATTTGGTTCATACTCTAGAAAACAGTTTATATTCATAAACCACACGTTGCTCATATTACAGGCATAGAATTTTAGCTACTCAAGGAAATGAAAGATCATCCAGCCTTTTCATTTATAGATGGAAAAAGAACATGGACTTGGAGTTACATAAACCTGCATCTAAATCATAGCTTTCATTTTCCTGCTGGTTTTTCTGGGCAATGTGTTCAGTTTGCTAGGCTTCATAAATGACACTGGATCACCTTTTATTATCAGATGATAAGGAATGCAAAAGAGAAAACTGTGCTAATGGACAACCCGAGAAGTGGCAGTAACATAGTTTTTAGCTTTTATGGCAAGTTACAGCTAAAAAGGATTATCTGGTTCAGTCTATCAAGAAACTATAACTCTTTCAATTAGGGAGATTTTTCCAAGGTTTAGCTTTCATCTTGCTTGAGAACAGCTTGTGCAGCCTTTGTCTGTTTATGCAAATTATACAGAAATCACAGGCAGATAAAGTATGCTATGCCTGAATTTCATGCTTTAGACATTTCAGTAGATAAAGAACACCATGCTCATTAAAATAATGGATCCTCACAATCCATGTGGACATTTAGCACCTCTGCCCCAGTGTTAATGCTATGGAGGCCACAGAGTGCATTTCTTTTCTACTATCCCGCCTTCATTGAAATACAACAAATAGTCTTCCCTTGAGTCCTTCCTATGAGCCACATTCATAATTTTTAGACCACAGGTGGCAAACACAAGGTCCGAGGGGTTGAATCTGGCCCTTCACCATGTTTTATCCGGCCCTGCACCTTGTTATTATCCAGCGGCAGTGCCGAGCTCTCGCTTCACTGTTCAGGAGTAGTTACATTTATACAGCCCTAACGTTACATTCGGCCCTTTGAAGGCAGTGGCGAGGCTGAGGTGGCCCCCAGTGAAAATGAGTTTGACACCCCTGTCCTAGACTGTTTATTTTCAGAGGTACTGTTGATATAGTGGTAAAATAGTTCCTCTGAAAATAACAGCTTTGGTTGCTAATGAAAGATTCTGAGTCAAAGACAAGCTGTGGAAACTTTGGAACAATATGGGGAATAGGCAGAGGTGGTTTTTGTTGGTGGGGGTCATGGGATAGAAGAGCTGGGCAGATCCAGAACCAGCCTGGAGCTGGTGCTTGCTTTTGTTCACCATGGTGTCCCTAGCAGCTAGCACAGTGTCGGGCATATAATAAGCACACGGTAAATATTTGTTGAAAAAATAAATGCTATTTTAGTTTCCTGCCTGGGGATTTGGCCTCCACAACAGTATTGTGAGAATCACTGTATGAATTTCCTTTCAATGGAAAAAAAGGAGCTGCTTATTTTTCTTCCCTTTGAGACCTTAGGCTTAAAAAGTCTCTTTGATATCTAACATTCAGAGGAAAAGTTAAGTGCCATTACTCTAGAGGGGACCCAGGGGAACATTTTTCTGTGTGCTATGTGTGGCTGGCCTATTTTAAAACACATACATAGCCCTGGCTGGTGTAGCTCAGTGGATTGAGTATACGCCTGTGAAACAAAGGGTCGCTGGTTTGATTCCCAGTCAGGGCACATGCCTGGGTTGCAGGCCAGGTCCCCAATAGGGGACACATGAGAGGCAACCACACATTGATGTTTCTCTCCCACTCTTTCTTTTTCTCTTCTCCTCTCTCTAAAGATAAATAAAAAAATTTTAACAATTATTAAAACACACACACACACACACACAGAAGTTACTAGATAAAGCCCTGGCTGGTGTAGTTCAGTGGGTTGAGCATGGGCCTGTGAAGCAAAGGGTTGCTGGTTTGATTCCCAGTCAGGGCACATGCCTGGGTTGCAGGCCAGGTCCCCAGTAGGGGGCACATGAGGGGCAACCACACATTGATGTTCCTTTCCCACTCTTTCTCTCTTCCTTCCCCTCTCTCTAAAAACAAATAAAATTTAAAAAAAGAAGTTACTAGATCAATGTTTTCCAGGCTGCAGCATGAAAAAACCATTGGGTAATAAAATCTTTGGTATATTACTTTATATCCATAGTTGTCTTTTTTTCTTATGCCTTTTTATCAGTAGAAGAGAGGCTAAAGTCGCCCTGGCTGGTGTGTCTCACTGGATTGAGTGTCAGCCTGTGAACCAAGGGGTCACCAGTTCAATTCCCAGTCAGGGCACATGCCTGGGTTGTGGGCTGGGTCCCAGGTAGGGGGCGTGCAACCACACATTGATGTTCTTCTCCCTCTCTTTCTCCCTCCCTTCCCCTCTAAGAAATAAAATCTTTTTAAAAAAAGAGGCTTAAAGCAGTAGAAAGCACAGCAAACTGTCTAGTGACAAAGTAAATGTTGCTCTTAAAATCAGTTTCGAGAACAATTTCTCAGTGGGTTTGTTGGTAAATTGACATTTTGGGGGGGGAAATTAGGTCAAGGGGTAGGAGGCAGATGAAGAGGGTAAAGGGAGTCAAAATATGTGATGACAGAAGGAGACTAAACTAAGAGCAACTTGACCAACTAGAGTTACCAGTCTTCATGATATTTCATGGTATGGGCACCTTTTAAGATTTTACCAGCCCTGGCTGATGTAGCTCAGTAGATTGAGCATGGGCCTCTGAACCAAAGGGTTGCTGGTTCGATTCCCAGTCAGGGCACATGCCTGGGTTGTGGGCCAGGTCCCCAGTAGGGGGCACATGAGAGGCAACCACACATGGATGTTTCTCTCCCTCTCTTTCTCCTTCCCTTCCCCTCTGTCTAAAAATAAATAATAAATAAAATATTTTTTAAAAGATTTTACCAAATAGCCATTGATTACCAAGCTGCACGAGAAATAAACATATGATGCATATTAAAATAAGAGAAAGATTGGACGATATAACTATCCTAGATGATTTAAAGTGAGATTTCCTGCTCTGAATCACTTTTAATTATATTTTGCAGTTGTTTTTATTTTATGGAACAAAGCTTTTCACCAGGAATCAATCAATCAATCAATCATCATCATCATCTTGAACCTCCTTTAGAACATTTATAGCCTATTGCTGGGGTGTCAAGCTCATTTTCACCAGCGGCCACATCAGCCTCACAGTTGCCTTCAAAGGGCCAGATGTAATTTTAGGACTGGATTAAATGTAATTACTGAACAGTTTAGGGAGAGCTCGGCACGACCGGGTAGATACAAGGTGCCGGGCCCCATAGAACAAGGTGGAGGGCTGGATTCAGCCCTCAGGCCTTGTGTTTGCCACCTGTGCCCTGTTGTTTTCTGTACCCTCTGTAGTCCGCTTGCTCGGTGTTGCCCCTCCTAAAATGTCTCTTGGCGCTGCCCCTTTTCACCCCCAGTGTTAAGCCTTCACTCAGAGCTTCTGTTGCACCATCATTGCATTACAACAGTTTCCTGGCTAGTCTCCCCTTCTCCTGTGTCACCCCAATATCATCTTCCACAGTGCCTCCCAAATGATTCTTCTGTAACATGCAAATATGATCATGTCATCCCCTTGCCTAACCTTTCCATGGCTGTTACCTATAGGATAAATAACAAGCCATTACTGGCATACAAGAGGCCCCATAATAAAGCAGTTTCTTAATTCTCCAGCCCATCATCTTTCTCTACTGTTGTGCACTCACTCCTTTGGAATACCCTGTCTCATATATCCTTGCTGATTTGTGTTTGTCTTACAACATTCAGGTATTATCTCCACTGAGAAGCCTTTTCTCACCCGTACTCTCAGGAAAAAGTGGCTGTCCATTTTCTGTAGTCTCTCTTTTAGTATTGTTCCCTGTGATTATGTCATGCTCAGCTTTGTATTCTGAGAAGCCCAGTCCCTACCACATATACTAAGTGCTTGATAAATATTACTTGTTCATTGCTTACTGTTCTAGAACTTGCTGCTGCAAACAACTGCTTTCCTATCTGTTTACTCCTCTGATCCTTATAACAACCCCGGACGATAATAGGGAATATTTCCCACTTTGCAGATGATAGAACTAAGGAGTATGGTTGGCTAATAAGTGGAGAAATGAAACTCCAAGTCAAATCTTGTGACTTCCAACCCAGTTTGTGTGTGTGTGTGTGTGTGTGTGTGTATGTATACGTGTACATCTGCATTCACAACTTTGTATAAGATGTCTGCCAAACAGTTGCATGCAGTCATGGTAGTAGTTCTCGGTGTATTTGTCTACAGTGTTTCAAATGCCCGATCAGTAAGTACCTGAGTCACTTACACCTACATACAGCTTTACCATTCCTGTCGGCACACAAGACAGTTGGTGTGTCTCTCTAAAGGTAATAATAGTGATAAGAAGTAATAGACGGACTCCATTAAACTGAACTATTTGTTTCATTCTTAGTTGTGGTGTGATGATTGCTTTTAGGCTCTCTGTCATGTAGTGTAATTAAAATGACTTCTGACCTTCCCTTCCAAAGGTCTCGCTGGAAGAAAAAAATGCAACTATTATTTATGACCCTAAACTACAGACTGCAGAGACCATGCAGGAAGCTATCGACGACATGGGCTTCGATGCTATTCTCCACAATCCCCACCCTGTCCCTGTTTCAACCGACACCGTGTGTCTGAGAGTTCCTGGTTCTCTGAATGCACCGTGGGACCATATCCAAAGCACATTGCTCAGGGCCAAGGGTGTCACAGACATTAATATTTCCCCTCAGCAAAGAAGTGCAGTGGTGACAATAATCCCTTCTTTAGTGAATGCCGATCAGATAATGGAGCTGGTTCCCGATCTCAGTTTCGATACTGGAACTGTGGAGAAAAAGTCAGGGACCTGTGAAGATTACAGGGTGGCTCCAGCAGGTGAAGTCAAGCTGAAGATGAAAGTGGAGGGGATGACCTGCCATTCGTGCACAAGCACCATTGAAGGGAAAATAGGGAAACTGCAGGGTGTTCAGCAAATTAAAGGTAATGCACCTGGTGGTACTTGTGTGTTTTATAAGGCTTAGTTTGCTGTTTTGGCCTTTCAACCTTTTCTTCTTAAGCATGGGATTTGAATTCGTGGGACTGGAATGCTTATTGCTTCATTAAAGACTGAATTACAGTGTATTGCCAGGACTAATGTCAGTAAAGAGAATGATTAAAAGTTACATGAGACGTGAACTAGCGGAAAAGGCAGTTGGGGTGGCATTTCATGGAATTCAGGGTGTTTTTTAAAACAAACTTATTTATTTATCTTTAGTGAGATGGGAAGGGAGGGAGAAAGATGGGGAGAGAAACATCAGTGGTTCTCTCACGTGCCCCCTACTGAGGCTGCAACCCAGGCATGTGCCCTGATGGGGAATTGAACCGGTGACCCTTTGGTTCACAGCTGGAACTCATTTCACTGAGCCACACCAGCCAGGGTGAGTTCAGGGTTCTTATTACAACATGCCTGTGGTCTTCTTTATGTCTGATGTATGTCTATTCAGGCATGTAGAAACTTGGAGACCATAGATATAGTGGTCATATCTTTAACTTTTTTCCAGTCTCTGTCAGTAACATTTTCTGAAAAGAACAGAATTATTTTAAGAAAGGATAATAACAGTGAGAGAGGAATGATTTTGTGTGATAGTGATTTGGTCTAAAGAATGTTTTCTAAAGCAGGCCAGGAATAACTGAATTAAATAATTATTTTTCTATTTATTAATTAGTCTCCCTGGACAACCAAGAAGCTACTGTTGTTTATCAACCTCATCTTATCACAGGAGAGGAAATCAAGAAGCAGATTGAAGCTGCGGGCTTTCCAGCATTCATCAAAAAACAGCCCAAGTACCCCAAGTTGGGAGCTATTGATATAGAACGTCTGAAAAACACCCCAGTCAAATCCTCAGAAGGATCACAGCCAAGGAGTCTAGCATGTGCCGATGATTATTCCACAGCTGTTTTCACCATAGATGGCATGCATTGTAAATCATGCGTGTCAAACATTGAAAGTGCTTTATCTACACTCCAATATGTAAGCAGCATAGCAGTTTCTTTAGAGAATAGATCTGCCGTCGTCAAGTACAATGCAAACTTAGTCACTCCAGAAGCCCTGAGAAAAGCAATAGAGGCCGTACCACCAGGACAATATAGAGTTAATATTACAAGTGGAGCTGACAGTACCTCAAACTCTCCTTCCAGCTCCTGTCTGCAGAAGCTTCCCTTAAACGTAGTTAGCCAGCCCCTGACTCAAGAAACCGTGATAAACATCGATGGCATGACTTGTAACTCTTGTGTGCAGTCTATTGAGGGTTTCATATCAAAAAAGGCAGGGGTGAAATCCATACTAGTATCCCTCGCAAACAGCAATGGAACTGTAGAATACGACCCTCTAGTAACCTCTCCAGAAACTTTGAGGAAAGCAATAGAAGACATGGGATTTGATGCTACCTTGCCAGGTAATTAATCACTTTTTTCTTTGGTTTGTCTAATGTTCTTTTCTCACTGGTTTGCCGATTTCTTTGTCTTTTATCAATGAGAAAGGAGTAATAGGCATTTTATTTCCACTTTTTGAAAATAGGTCCAATGTAAGTATTCAGTGATATATATATACAGAGATGCATAAGGATGTTTGCATAATTATTTTAAAAGTACAAACCTTAAATAAATCATGATATATCCGTGTGATGAAATGTTATGAAGCCATAAAAATTGTGGTATTAAAGGTACTTAATGCCACAGGAGAGTGTCAGATATTTTATTAAGTGAAGAAAAATAAGCCAAAAAGCTGTATATTCAGTTTAATTATAAATTTATAAGCACATGTATAAAGATTTATGCCATGTATATGTTATTTATGTATGTGAATAAAATTTCTGGCAGGAAATGAGCTAAAATTTTGACAGTGGTTATTTGTAACTGGTAGGATAATGATGATTTTTGTGTGCTTTCGCATGTATTTTAAGTTTTTTTTTTATGCCAAGATGTACATAGTTATGTATATACAGGGTCTGGCACAAATAATGCCCCCTTTTTATTACAAAATCATAAGCATGTAATTCTGTAACATGATAATGTCACACTCAAGCATTCCATCTGACATTTTAGGTGAAATGTTCAAATTAAAACTATAAATTATTACACCCATATTATTACCCTACAAGCCACATTCAGGCCTTACTTCTGCCAGACCCTGTATAATAGGAGAGGCAAATGTTGTTTTTAAAGAGAAACAAGGTGTGAAAAAATCATGAAATTTAAACTGTAGCTTTAAATTTAGGCATTCAAAGTCTTCCTGTTTCCTGATAGCTCTTACCTTGGACTGAAACCAAAAACATACATGCAGTGGAACTTAACCTATGTGAAGTTGTTTGGAACTAGAATTGAACATAGCCTTGCATTAAACTGGAAATGCCCTAATGAAACCTCTTTTTTAAAAAAATATATTTTATTGATTATGCCATTACAGTTGTCCTATTTCCCCCCTTCATTCCCCTCCACCCGGCACACCCCTCCCCCACCATTCTCCCCCTTTAGTTTATGACCACGTATCTCAAGTTCTTTAGATTCTATATTTCCCATACTATTCTTGCCCTCCCCACTATTTTCTATCTACTGTCTATGCTACTTATTCTCTGTACCTTCTCCCCCCTTCTCCTCCTCCTCCCACTCCCCTGTTGCTAACCCTCCATGTGATCTTCATTTCTATGGTTCTGTTCCTGATCTAGCTGTCCTCCTTAATGAAACTTCTTATTGTAAATAACAATAACTGATTCTCAGACCATGTCATCCTTAACCTTTGATCTTTTGCTCAGAATGAAGGGTCTCAAATGACAGCGTTACTGTTTCCAAGCTCACTAAACCTGAGAAGCATAAAAATTATATTAAACCCATGCTTACATTATTACGGTAGATAAATGTCAGCAGAAGAGGACCCACAGGCATACTCAACGTTCTTCTCATATTCATGACAAAGGGAGAAATTGTAGGATTCTCACCTTTTAAAGTCCAGATAGAGTTCACATACGATGAAATTCACCATTTTAAAATATTTTCTCAAGATTTTATTTATTTAGGATTCTTGGGATATAATCCTAGCAGTGGAATTGCTGGGTCAAAAGGCAGGTCGATTTTTATTTTTCTGAGAAAATTCCATCCTGTTTTCCATAGTGGTTGTACCAGTCTGCAGTCCCACCAACAGTGAACTAAGGACCCCTTTTCCCCACAACCTCTCCAACATTTGTTGTTTGTTGCTTTGTTTATTATAGCCATCCTAACAGGAAGCTAAACAACAAAACAAACAAGCAAACAAAATAAAAACAAAGACACTGAAATAGAGAACAAGTGGGCAGCGACCAGAGGGGAGAGGGAAAGGAATTTAAGTGGGAAAGGGGGAGGGATTTGGAGGAACAAATAGGAAGGACACAGGGATGAGAACTGGGGGGAGGGTGGGAGGGAGGTGGGGAGACGGGGCGGGGGGGGGCTGGGATGGGAGAAATAGACAAAAAACTGTACTTGAAAAATAACTAAATAAAATTAAAAAAAAGATTTTATTTATTTATCTTTAGAGGGGAATGGAAGGAGAGAGGGAGAGAAATATCAATGTACGGTTGCCTCTCGTGCATCCCCTGCTGGGAACTGGCCTGCAACCCAGGCATGTGCCCTGACTGGGAATCGAACCACGATACTCTGGTTCTCAGGCCTGCGCTGAATCCACTGAGCTACACCAGCCAGGGCTAAATTCACCATTTTAGAGTATACAACCCACGGGTTGTTAGTATGTTCACATAGTATTGCAGCCATTACCACCATCTAATTCTAGAACATTTTATCACCTGCAGAAGAAACCCCAGACTCATTGGCAGTCACTCCTCATTTCCCCTAGTGGAGCCCTTGTTATCTGCTGTTCTATTTTTGTTGTTATGAATTTGCCAACTCTAGGTACCATGGAAGTGTAGTCATAGAATATTTGTCCTTTTGTGTGTAACTAGTTTTGCTTAGCATAATGTTTTCAGGGCACGCAGATGTTCAGTGATGTTCATAACATGAACTTCATTCATTTTAATTGCTGTTATAGTATTCCCTAGTATGTATTATATACTTCATTTTGTTTCTCCATTCATTAAATAATGGAAATGTAGGTTGTTTCCACTCCTTGGCTTATAAATAATGCTCCTATAAATAATATGTAAATAATGTTTTGCACAAATATATGTTTTTATTCCTTCTGGGTATACACCTAGGATTTGAATTTCTGGGTTATATGGTAAATATGTTGCACATTTTTAGGAACTGTCAACTTTCAAAAGTAGCTATACCACTTTACTTTCATATCTAGAATTCTCACTTGGATAAAGAAAACCTCAGACTGAGGTTCTTATGCTCTAAAAAGAGATACATAATTCCCTATACAAAAGTTTATATAGCATATGCCCTGGCTGGTATGGCTTCGTGGATTAACTGCCAGGCTGCAAACCAAAGGATTGCAGGTTTGATTCCCAGTCAGGGCACATGCCTGGGTTATGGACCAAGTCCCCAGTGGGGGTGTCCGTAAGAGGCAACCACACATTGATGTTTCTCTCCCTCTCCTTCTCCCTCCCTTTCTAAAGATAAATAAATACATATGTTTTATAAAGATTTTATTTTTATTTATTTTTAGAGGGGAAGGGAAGAAGAAAGGGAGAGAAATATCAATGTATGGTTGCCTCTCATGCGTCCCATGCTGGGAACTGGCCTGCAACCCATACATGTGCCCTGAGCGGGAATCGAACCATGATCCTCTGGTTCACAGGCCCACACTCAGTCCACTGAACTATGCCAGCCAGGGCATAAATAAAATTTTTAAAAAACCAAAATTTATATAGAACGTTAAAATGTTAAAGAGGCTCCAGTACTGAAACTCTGAACAGAGTATAAGAAATAACATGATTTCAAGAGGAAGTAATTATAAAAGCAGAAGAAAATTTAAATTGGAGATATTGGAAGTGAAACTGTATGAGTTAGCCATAAAAAATGACTAGAATTTGTTTCAGCAAAATTTAGTTGTATGTGTCATCAGCTATAATTTTAAAATGTTTAAAATGACAGTACTTGAAATTACATTGATTCATGTTTCAGTAATTCATAATGTTGAATTATTCCTCACAGTTTCTGTGAAAACAGTTCGGCATAAGTCTTACATTATGTTGCCAATGATGGACACTACATAAAGTTTAGTTTACATCAGTATCAGTCAAGGAAATTACACTGTGATATTGCTATGCCTGTTTACATACATAGAAACCCAAATTATATCACACATGGTATGAAACACAAATATTTCTCATGATCAAATCTGGTATCTGTAATACTATAAACAAGGACCTCACCAATTTTCAGACTGGATCCCAAAACAGATTTTGTCCTTTTCACTTGGGCCTATATTTTGCAACAGAGTCCACATTTGTATTTCGATAAGCTTCTAGGAAATTCATATCACACTAAAGTTTGAGAAGCACTGGTCTAAATAATTTGCTTCATTGACCTCTTTGAATAAAGTCCCTGAATTAAATCTATATTAGCATTGTTCATTTAATGCACTAATTATGTATCATAATAGAATTTAAAATAGCTAGCATTTATGAGATTTTATATAACAAATGTGGGAAGAGCAAAAGTAGAACTTTCCAATAACTGTAGATGAATTCCAGAGGATTTGATCGTCTCTGGCACCATGTCTGGCATCCACCTAGTCCTTAGAACCATGAACACAACATGGTCAGTAACTTTTAGTAATGTCTTACATGTCCACCTACTCTTGTCAAGGGCTCTAGGCTGTTTTGTGCCCTGAATCTGTTAGGGTTCATAATCATAGTCATGGCCGTGATGAGTAAATAGGTGAGACAAACCTTGGCACAGTGAACGTCACTATAAGAGAACAGATAGACTCTGGCTTATGTAGCTCAGTGGACTGAGCATGGGCTGCGAATCAAAGGGTCGCTGGTTCGATTCCCAGTCAGGGCACATGCCTGGGTTGCAGGCCAGGTCCCCAGTGGGGGCCATGTGAGAGGCAACCACACATTGATGTTTCTCTCCCTCTCTTTCTCCCTCCTTTCCCCTTTCTCTTATTTAATAATTTTTTTAAAAAAAGAAATAGATGCTTTAAAAATGTTTTATTTATTTTTAATTTTTTAATTTTTTAATTTTTTAATTTTTTTAAATTGATTATGCTGTTACAGTTGTTCTATTCCCCCCTTCATTCCCCTCCCCCCTGCCCCCCCATCCCCACCATTACCCCCCTTTAGTTTATGTCCATGTGTCTCAAGTCCTTTAGGTTCTATATTTCCCATGCTATTCTTGCCCCCCATCTATTTTCTATCTACTGTCTATGCTACTTATTTTCTGTACCTTCTCCCCCCATCTCCTCCTCCCACTCCCCTATTGCTAACCCTCCTTGAGATCTTCATTTCTATGGTTCTGC